TCGCAGTGTGCACGCTACGTATTCTGCCCCACAACACATACGCATTTCCGTCCCAGCACCCAGGCGATGGAATCCAGAGTTCCCTCGCTCCGTTATCCAAACCAGGCCGTCCCGCCCGCTGCAGACGCCGCCGCGAACGCCCCCCGCCCGGCGGGCCTCAGGCCGAGCCTACACTCCCTCCGCCGTCGCCACGTCCTGCGGTTTGTAGAGCGCGACGCTGGAGACGATGTGCCGAACGCCCGCGTGACAGGGCAGAAGCGGCGCATCCAAGAGTTCCAGAAACGATGGGAGAGGATCAAAGATGACCTCCCACCTCAGCTCACGCGTTCGCATAGTGAGTCGGGGTCATACACTATTGCACGATTATTGACCGTCCTCAACGTACAGTCGGGATGATATCTATTGGTACGGTGGGTTCCTGTGCCTGACGTTCCGTCGGTGCTGAATGCTTGCTAGGCGGTGTCATTGGAACGGGCCTTTTCCTAGGATCCGGAGTGAGTCACCTGTGCGACTAGCCTGCATTCTTCGTGCTATCGCTGACACGTTGTAGGCTGCGCTGCACAACGGGGGACCCGTAGGTGCCCTGCTCGGGTACCTCATCATGGGCTCTGTCGTGTACTGCCTCTGCGTCTCCATCGGCGAGATGATCGCCTTTCTGTCAGTTGTTCTGGATTCGTAACGAGCCTTTCGATCACCGCTAACCCATTGCTTGCCAGGCCAAACGTAGGCGGCGTCGTTGGACTTGCAGACCTGTATGTGGACCGAGCGCTCGGGTTCTCTCTGGGATGGGCCGCATGGGTAAGTGACCAGTTCGAGCGATTAGTTGGCTTTGACGCAATATTTTCTCAGTATAACTGGAGTGTGACACTGCGTATGTTATTGTTGCGACTCTGAGCAGGCTGCACCGCTGATAGCTGCGTCAAGCTGCTGAAGTGACCGCAGCAGTGGTCGTCGCCGGATACTGGAACTCGGGCAAAATTCCGTAAGTACACGACATACTGCTCTGGAAGACGCTGCCGACTCGTTTACTCCAAGTGTTGCAGGTTTGACGGCCGTCTTCGTGAGTTCTTCGTCGATCTGCGAAAAAGAAAAAAGGTCTTCTGACACATACACAACCAGCTCGCGCTGGCGACCATCATCAACTGCTTCCCTTCCCAAGTCTACGGCTCGTTCGAGTACCATTTCTCAGCCATCAAGGTGCTCACCATCGTCTGCATCAGTAAGCCACTCTCCCCGACCCGCCAGCAGTCCCCAGCTCACCGTGCCGGCCCAGTCGTGCTCACCCTGGTCATCGACCTCGGCGCCGGAAGCTCAGAGTGCGTGTCACCACTGACTCTTGCCGCACCGCAAAAACATGTCAGAACTGACAAAAGGCGTTCCCGCTCCCAGGTTCCGGTTCTTCGACACGTGGAAGCACCCGTTCACCGACAGCTACCTCGGGGTCACCGGTGCCCTCGGTCGCTTCCTCGGCTTCTGGGCCGTCCTGATGCAGGCCGCCTTCTCGTTTTTCGGGTCCGAGGTCCCAGGAATCGTGAGCGACGCGCCTGTCCTTGCAGACACAGTCTGATCTGTACGCGGGCTTTGTAACAGGCGGCGGGCGAGGTCATCGATGCCACTCGGGTGCGTAGTCTTCGATCTGCGTGGCCGTTCACACCGGACGCTGACCTCGGAAAAACAAACGTTGCAGAATGTTCCTAGGGCGTTGCAGCGCGTGTGGATCCGGATGTGCGCCCATCTCTTTCTTCTTCTCGTGCGAGCGACCGTCAAAGAAAAAAAAGCTGACACGAAAGGCGCACGCGCAGATCGTTGTTCTACATCGGCGGAATCTTCTGCGCCGGCCTGCTCGTCGACAGGAACGACCCGGACCTGACGAGCGGCGCCAACGCGGGCACCGTCAAGGCCTCGCCGTTCGTGATCGCGTTCCAGCACGCGGGCATGTACTGGGTGCGTCTCGCGCCCTTCTCCTCCCCCCTCTCACGCGCACCATGTCTCCGCAGAATCATCTTTCGAGCTGAAAAGACACGCAGATCTCGCACGTCATCAACGCCGCCGTCCTGCTCTCCGCCTGGTCCGCCGCGGCGTCCGACATCTACATCAGCAGCCGCTTCCTCTTCTTCCTCGCCCGCCGCGGACACGCGCCCCAGCTCTTTGCGTCCCTCGTGCGCTACCCGCGTGGCGCCACGTCGGACGGGGCTGCACCGCAATCTGGCGAGGAGGTATTGTCGTCTGATGATGACGACGACGATGACGATGGCGATGGCGATGGCGAGAGCGGTGGCGGGGAGGAGGAAGAGGAGGACGCGGCGGAGCCCGGACTCGACACTCCGCCGACAACACCACCGACAACGCCGCCGGCGCCGGGAGACGACCTGGAGGACGGCGCGCAGAAGAAGCCGTGGTTCGTGCTCCCGCTGAACGCCGTGCTGGGCTCGGCCGCGGTCGGGCTGCTCGCGTTCCTGAACGTCACCGGGCCGGGGGCACAGACGGTGAGGATTGTGGCCCTCTGTCTCTCTTGGAAGATTTTGGGACTGATCTGGTGCGCGCGCCGGGCAGGCGTTCAACTGGATGATCTCGGTCACGAGCATCGCGTCGTTGCAGTCGTGGGCCGGGATGATGTTCACGTACATCAGGTGCGTGCTTCCTGTTGACCCTTCCTCTGTCGTCCCGTCATTGTTAAATGCGCGTCAGATGGTACCAGGGCACGGCGCACGCCGAGAACAAGTACCGCGACGCCCAGCGCCTCGAGCTCGCGGACGAAGACGTTGACGAGCACCCGGACGCGGCCAAGATCAAGAAGGCGCGGCTCGTCGTCCGCCAGATCGCGCGCATCCGCGTGCACAGGCACCGTGGCCAGCCCTACGTCCGTCCCCCTCTCTCCTGCTGCTGACGCCCAGGACATGAATGCTTATGCAGACTGTTGGTACAGCTCGCGTGGTGGGCGTTCGGTGTCTGCATGCTCATCCTCTTCACGAACGGCTGGTCCGTGTTCCTGCACAGCGGCTGGCGCATCGGTTCGTGTTTCCTGCAGCCCGTGTTGTCAGTGTCTGGCTCACATCTTGCGCGCAGCGGACATCCCCGACGAGGCACCCAATCCCTACGCGCCGTCTGAGCAGCCGTCGGCCCCGATCTCGAGCTTCCTCGCGTCGTACGTGCCCATCGTAAGCCTCTTCCTCCTTCCCTCTCTTTCTGTGCCCTCCCCCAACCTGCGCGCCGTCTGACGTCGTCTCAACCCGTCCCCCAGCCCTTCTTCCTGCTGCTCACCTTCGGCTACAAGCTCATCTACCAGACCAAGATGGTCGCGCTCGACGACATGGACTTCTCGCGCGTGAACGTGGATGACGACGCCCAGCGCGACCCAGATTACGCCTCCCCGCTCGCGAGGGTGCTGGGCTGGCTGCTGGTCTCCTGAGGCCCGTCCGCACTCGCTCCACTGTTGTGTATCACCCAGAAGGGGTGCGCCGCAGGTGGATGCGCGGCCCGTACAGCTGTGTCACTGGGTAGCACGCTCGTGCAAATCATGGTCGGACAGGAGCGTGTAGCTGAGTTTCTCTGGTTTTCACCCGAGAAAAATCGGAGACAATATTTTACTTTTCTCCCAGTTACATAAAGATAGAGCCTTCGCTATATGATACATATATATGAGCTGTACCATTAGGCGGCCATAGGCCATTAGCGATACAAGCAGCGTTGAATAAATACTGGTCCTTCTAACTAACTAGCATGCGAGATATACAAGCATACAGGCAATGTCAAATAAATATCAGTCTTACATCCTCTCTGCCCCATTAAACGAAGACAATATCGATCTCCGAGGGCAAGGCCGAGACCGAAGTAAGAACTGTGCCGTTCTGCTCTATGTTCAAAATCGTCGCGCCAGTGATGTCCAGGGGTCCGCTGGAGGTCGCGGCAGACACATCTGTGAAGTTGATCGTGCCAAAGTCGGCCAACGGCGGTAGGCCCGCGTCCACTCCGATGTTCTCGATGACCCAGTCTGCTTCCCCCATGCACAGAGTCCCGGTAGAGGCGGTCTCAGTGATGATATCGCCCGTGCTCTCGTTTGTAATGACCACCGTGACCGACGTCGTGTTCGTCACAGCGATGCTTACTGTGATGTTATCGCCCGCCGAGGCGTTGAAGCCCGCGATGATGGCGGAGCTGTCAGGGAAAGCCGTGATAAACGCTGGGAGAATATAGATGGCTCGTCAGCATGCGACGGGGAGGGCAAGGAGCACGGACTGACCAGAAAAGGACTGTTCATCATCCTGGATGAAGGACTCAATACCAGCCACGGCGCCGCCAGTCGGGCAGAACAACGCATCAATGCCGACCATGGTGGCTACGCCGAAGATGCTCGTCGAGCTCCCGTCGCCAGACACACTAGGTGGCGAAACTGTGAAGGACGCGGAGACGTTGGTGACCTATGGGAAAGTCAAGCCTGTCAGCGCACGGATCGCACAGAGACATAAGAGGAGGCTCACTGCAGTCGCATTCAAGATGGCACCGGCCAACGCCATGTCGGTCATGAATTGAGAGCTGTTGTCTGCCTGGCGGGTCAACATGTGCGACCCGCCAGCACGACGAACCGGGCCGCTCGCGAGTCCCTGGAATCCGGGGTGGATCGCGGGGGACGGCATCGACACAACAGTCGTGGCAGCCAGGGCCAACACAAAGGATGAGATGATGAAGTGCATGGCCGTGTGAGCAACGTGGGGTCTAATGAGCTGTGATGTCGTCGAGGCGAGGAAGGCGAGGAATGTGTGGTTTGGCTACAGCGATCGGGCAAGCTTATATACATCGCAAGCCTGTCCAGCAAGCACCTGCGCGCCATGGCAGTGATTCTGCGGTGCACCATGATGCACAGAGCTTGGCGAGGCGGGGCGTGTCTCGTCACACTTGCGGCCGTTGCGACTGGAAATGTCGCACACATCAGGATTTCCAAAAGTCTGGCTGTAGACAGACTTCGATGGCGACTCAGACTTTGAAGGACAGCCTGGAGTACTGTACCTGAAGGAGAGCGGTTTCGAGTGCTGAAGCGGCGTTTCAGACGGGATCCAGTAATATGCCCGGGACTGACAACTACACCACATTCCACCGAATATGGGGTGTACTCACCGGCACCCACTGGTATCCAGTGAAGTCCAGTGCTAGTCTCCAGTGGCTGCCGCTGTTGGCTGGTGGGTATCAGTGAGTAACAGTGGGTGGCAGTGAGACACACCGGATCCCGCTGGGCTTCACAGGTTGCCACCGGCTACTGGCACACATCACCAGCGATTTGTATAAAACATTGCTCGAAGCCACTGGCTTATCAAGTACCGATATAAATACAAATATTCTTCTGTAATAGGCTCAATAAATGCTTAGCCACTGGCATCTGTATAGATGCCTATTCTCATCTGAACTGTGCACTATCCCAGAACTCAGCTCTCACTGAAGTGTCTCTACACAGTACACTGTCTGAGTGCAAAAGGTGTGTAAAATTGATTGCCAGATGTGTCCCCAAGTGGAAGCAGCTGTAAGTAATTCTTTGAAGCATATTATACTACACAGACCTGGTTAGAGGCTCCTGAGATTTTTTATAAACTTTCTATAAGCTCAGGAATGAGCTATCAGGCAGTGAGGGCAGGCTGCCAGCAGTCACATTA